AAAAAATAGTTTCTCAAGAGAAACGCAAATATACAGTATTGTAAAATAATGAGACTATGCAGTTATCTCAATTTCACGCTGTTCACATTTAATAAAGTAAGATCCGGCTTCATATTTATCTTCTAAACTTTTCTCATCATCATGCTCTAACTTGCATAATTGGCATAATGTCTTGCCAGTAATTCCATAATAATCGAAGTCTTTACTACTATATTCTCTATATAAGTTGGGATATTGATCCAGTGTCTTGTTGCGAAAATAGGATCGATTATAAGTTGGCTTAGATTAGGATGCAGGTAATACATTTGCTGATGTACTCATCTCATCCTTAATCTGATCGTTCCCCGAGGGAACGGTTTTCAAAGTCATATGATACTGATGATCACTAATATATTTTTTTACTTGATCTATGACATTTTGGATTTGTGCATTAGTTAGTTTCGAAATCTCAGTTGCGCTATATGAGACCAACTTGATTTTGTCTATCCCAACTCCATTTTTTCCAAATAATGTGAGGTGTTTTCTAGCCCTAAGAGTTTTCTTGTACAAGTTATCTTGTGTGATTTTAGCAGGAAGAAATGGTTTCATTTCCTTGTAAATCTTTGATCTTGCCGTTTTATCTTTGATTCTACCATCAGCAGTAAGAGCATCTACTCTGCTCTCAAATTCAAGTGAATAATTATACCAGTCTAAGATTTCCTGCTGACCAGACTTTATTGCTATATCGAATAGATAGGATAAGTATTGGGCAGAACCTGAAATCATATTCTCTGATCCATTGCAAGAGGAATTAGTATTGGTAGAGCTGGTATTGTCATCACTGGATATGGGTGAACAGGTGTCAGCCGAAGGCGCTAAAGGCAAGGTACCACACAGCTCTTGTATTAGACCCTGTTCTATGATTTGATTTTTATCTAGCGATTTCTGCTCATCATCTTGCTCCATGGATACTTCGAGATCTGGCTTAACTGAAGTCACATGACTCTGATCGTTTCCTGAGGGAACAGTTTTTTCGAACTCTTCCGAAATTTCTAAACTCATCTGATACGCATCCTCATATGAATTTTCAGGATACCTATTAACTGCTTTTATATTGTGCGTCACTTTCGAATCCACCGTGGGAATTTCTTTCTGAGGGGTATCTGCAATGACCAATTGAGAAGCAACCACCACAGTTTCTGATACATAAGCGTTACCAAAGGTAACATCCTGATTAGCTGATTCACGCTGGAGTTTCTTTTCCTTATTGCATCACCTAATATCTTCGCTGACGATTTTCTTATGAGCCTCGAGCAAGGAACTATCTATCTCTTTCTCCTCTAATGATTTTTCATGATGGACTGCACCTGAATTGAACTTAGATAAGTTATTGTTAGGGGTAATATCATTTTGCGACTGCTTCTGTTCCACTTTCGTGAGTCTATCTCTAACTTCAATATTCTCAGATTCCAGCTCCTCGATTCTGGCCTTGAGTTTGGCATTCTCAGCATTACGCCTCTCGTTATATTTTCTATTCGCTCTTAGAAATTCGTTATTACTGCGCTTAAGTTCAGCTATTTTAGCATCAGACACTGAGAGCTTTCTTCTAAGATCAACTCTCTCAGCATCGAACTCTGAGATCTTTCTTCTAAGATCAGGTATTTCGGCATTCTCAGCCTCAAGTTTAATGATATGTTGTTTTAATACTTCAAGCTCAGTTGACATGATCTATATGTATAACTAATACACTGTATATAAGCATTCAAAATAAAAAATATCATGTGATTTTCCGAGACCGCGCGGTCCCACAAATTTGACAAGAAAAATATTTTATTAATACATACGAAAAAATAAATACAAATATTCAGGACTATGCCTGTGTTGCATATTATTTTTTAATAAATTTTTTAATCCTAGCCCTCTTGCTAGCTGGGGAACTATCAACACTAACACAATCTTTCAATAATCCAACGATGATGCCAATTATCCTTTTTACATTGCTTCGAAGTAATTCGGGATTTTCTTTAACAGCGGACTTCGTAAGATTAATCTGATGCTCACTAGCGCTTGTAGAGTAAATATCATCTGGAGTGTATATGATAAAATGCCACTCCGTACCCGTAGTCACAATACCATAGATGTAATCAAAATAATCATTTTCAAATGCCTGATCCGCAGTCTATTTCTTTTTATTTGTCTAAAATGCACTCTCAAGTTGCGCCAGATTCTAAGAGATAAAACATATTAATATTATTGAATCTCTAAAGCACAATCTGAGTAGTAAATCTACTTGGACATATCCAATCTTAATATTGCGTGGTTTTCCCTCCGCAACACATAGGAGGTCTTCCATACTTTTGATCATGTAGTCTACCCGACCCGTTGCATCTTCACCGGAAACGTCCTTTTGTAAAACTATGAATATATCTTGAGAGGTGAGATTTTTAGCTATAGCAATAGATGCATGAAGAATCGATAAAATAAATTCACAACGCGTCGCTCGTTAGCATCGGTCATGGTCTTCACATTTGAAAGTTTTAAGATAATATCATCCATACAATGATTGAGCGCCTTATCATCATCATTAATCTTCTCAAAGACTGCAGAGAAAAATTAAGTTAATATAGCTATCTAATCAGTTTCGAAAAATAATTAATTATCTACTGGGAGTAAACTACTTAATGTTTGTTATATCTTTTCCATTAACCTTATTTCTACATAACATTTCTTTCAGGTCGTCAAGAGTTTTAAGCGAGGAATAGTTTCGTAATTTCTGGCTAAGACTCTCAATGAATTTTGTAAGTCTTGTTGCTTGGCCTAACGCAAAACCAATGCTACAGAATTTTTCTTCTGTTAATTCAAGAAAGTCAGAGCCAGCAATTTCTTCCTTGCGTAAAATTTTAAAGTAAGACTCCTTGAGCTTCAGGTCTTTTTTCCCCAAATATTCGATAAGCTCCTCCGTATTAAAATCCTTAACCACGTCTGACATTGTTCTAGTTGAAATTTCTTCCATTATTGAGGCAGGTGAAGCGGGTGAAGAAGCTTGTGAAGACATAGTTTTTATATATGTGAATTTGTGCTTGCGAAAAAATTATGCAGTTACAGGTAAAGCTGGTTTATAGATATAAAAGTATTTTTAGTTTCCGACGCTCGGGGATAAATGATAGATTTTTTTGTATCAATTCATAATGCTTTTTTCAAATATATATGCAAAATTAAGATGTAGTACAGAATTGTCAGGCGATTACATTACATCATTACACGTGACATTTTTCAAGATTTACGACAAGAGCGTAATATATGCTTTATTTAAGAAATAAAAAAACATTGTCAGAACTGGCTTACGATACATAAAAATTGCGAATAGATACTTTACATGATGCGAATAAAAATACTATTTTTTATTGATAACATCTCCTAAACCTATTTTTGCTTCTCGAACACCTGTTACCAAAGGTAATGACAGTTAGATTTCAGCTATAACATTATGCAAAACAGATGGTCCCTCGGCGAAATTAATTACTCACCCAGCTCCTTAATATAATCCTCAAGTTTTAATGCTTGTTCTAATGTTATTCCGTATCCCTTAAAATCCCATCCAGTTAGCTTGAGAAATGAACTACCGGTGATTTCTTTCTTCTTAAGCTTTGTAAAAAAGTCATTATTAAGTTCTAAGCCTTCTGATTTGGAATCTTCCCGCAAATACTTGATAAGTCTTTCCGTTTCATATTTTTTAATCTTGTCAGCTTGAGTGAATTTGGAAGACATCTCGCTTTCCTAAATACAAGGCCTATTATGAGAAATTCTCGCTCCCATACATACATAATTTAGGACATATAACATACCTTATTTTTGCGTTAGCTACGCTAGTGAAACTATTTTCTCTGGGAAAGTTTTTTGCAGAAAGTTGGCTGAACTTCCACATATTCCTACATGCTTTATATCTTGCTGGAAAAATATAAGGAGGTATGAGGCATAATTAGCTTTGTCGTATGATGCTAAGAGCTCTATAAAAGCACATGTAAACGGAATCCTTATACCTTTTCACATGGAGAGGGTCCTAGAGGGACCAGATCTACCGGAAAGACTCCAAGTGGCTTTACGTCTAACGATCTCAGAATTGTAAGTCCACCAGCCCTTCATGACATATGCTTTTGCCATCACTATTAACTTATAGGGAAAGTCATGTGTTGCAACTAGACCTTCTTTCACTTTTTTCTTATATTTGTTCGGAAAAAAATAAAGAACAAGGGTTAATATGGTTTCTTTTTCGAATATATATGCAAAATTAATATGTCACACAAGCCAGTCTAGTGATCGGCCATTACATCATTTCGCAAAAATCTTCTGAGCTAAGGATTACCACTCCGGCTCAATGATCAGTATTCCAGACTCAGCCATAGGCACCTTCGGTAAAATTTTCCACATTAAATATATTACTTTACTATTAGCAATCATAGTGAATAACAATACTAATAAATCTCCTACGAAAGAATCTCTTGATCAATTATATGAAGTATTTTTATATAAGAAGAAGGATATAATAGCTATTCAGAAAAAGCTTGGTATTAATATCAATGCAAATCAAGATGCAGTGCGTCAAAGCAGGGAAGAGATAACACTTGCCGATTCATATGAGTTGTTGTTAGATTTAGTGGGATATATGGTACCAATACAGTTAGTATTCCAATCTGAGGATCATCCGTCATCCATAATCTGCAATCACGTGATCTGCAGATCATCCTTAATCTGGTGAACAGATATCCGATTTGAACGGATTATCCGTTGCATCCGTTAGATTATTACTATTAAAAATTTTTTATTTATTAAATAAATTAAGTTATCTCGTGTGATTTATGTGAATTAAATTAACATCATCACGTGTAAGGCATTGCCTTGTTATTTATTATTATATATTATTTTATTATTTGGAAAAATAAAAAAGTATCGAATGTTAACAATATATAAGAAAACTTGATTTATAACTTTATTTGAATATAATATTGATATCAATACATGAGGATTTTAAGATTCAAAAATTGAATCTAAATGCTTACTATTCCGTTTTAAAAACATCAACCTTTTGAATAATCTAGGACACATTCTAGTTCTCTTTGCAGTTAACAAATTTCCCGCATCTGAAAACAATCTTTCACTAGCAGTTGAACATGCATAAACAGCTAAGTATTTTTTAACAAGTAAATTTAAAACAGGAAACTTTTCTTTTCGCTCATACCACCATGTAAATGGATTAATTTCTAAATCAATTTCTTCTAACTGTAAATATAAACCAATTTCATCATCTGCTGGAGAAACCTTTTTCTTTAAATTTGCAAAAACTGTAAATACTTTTTTGCCTTTACTCTCATCTACATTTGTGGATGGTGATGATACATTAGAATTATTGTTTTGATCCTGAGACTTTAATTCTTCATACTTTTCTCTTAATAAATTTTCAGTTGCTTGACGTTCTGTAATAGTAACAAAATTGAGATCTTTCATTCTTGGATCTAAAAGACTAGGAAGAAGTATATCAGGTGATGTAAGATCGTCCCAATAATGATCTATAGCTACAAAAAGATGAAGTTTAATTTTTTCAATTAAACCATTACAATTAACAGGTTCACTAATTCTAATTTTTCTAGTAGCATTAACTGGTGGTGGTTGTTCATCATCTTCTATTGCAATCTCTTCATCAAATGATACTTCATCATTATCAAAAATAATTTTTCTAGCTGCTAATATACCACGTGATGTTGTAGGATGAAATCGTTTTTTGATATCAATTAATATAGGAATCATTATTGAATGTGTACAGTAGTTACTCCCACCTAAAATTTCTGTAGCTTCTGCAAAAGGATTTAATATTGGTAATAAATCACGAATTAAATCCCATTCTTCTGTAGTTAACATAATAGTACTTAATCTTTTATAATCCTTTTTAGAATCTCGATCATTCTTAGTAGAAAGAGTACTAATTAATATATTAATATGCTTTTGAAGTTTTAAAAGCCTTTTCCATGCAAGGTATGAAGAATTCCATCGTGTTGGTGAATCAGAAATGACATGAAGAAGATATTCCGATGTTTGTTTAGGATGCTATATATAAATTTTAGTATAATTTTTAAAATATTAAAAAAAAAAATTTAAAAAAAAATTTTAAAAAAAAAATTAAAAAAAAATTATTTACAATTTTATTTTCTTCAGAATCATTATCTACTAATTCAGGAAATTTTTGCTGTACATCTTCTAATCGTTCACTTTGTTTTGGTTGTAAAAAAAAATCAATAAGACGTTTAACACGTGCTATTAAAATTTCTGCTAATTTCATTCCTTTTCCAATAACTAATTGTAAAGTATGTGCTGTGCATCCTAACCAATTAACTCCTTTCATATCTTGAATTGCCTTTTTAACATTACTACCATTATCAGTTATAATAGTAATACTAAATCACGAATTTTCCATTCTTTTAATACTTGTTCAAGTGATTCAAGAATATGATTAGCAATATGTGGATATCTTATATAAGTAATATCCAAAATAAACTCACATAAATTAAATTTATTATCAAGAAAAGAACAGGTAATTCCTAAATAACCTTGACGATTTCTAGCTGTCCAAAGATCTA